CTACACACACACACACACACACACACACACACACACACACACACACACACACACACACACACACACACACACACACACACACACACACACAGAACAACGCACGCAAATGCATGGCCCACCATGTTTCCTGCTTCGAGCGCAACGCGGACGAAGAGCACGTGGTACTGCACGACCTCTGCGTACTCGTACACACAGGTGGGTTTCGTGTGCTCCGAGTATGGAAAGTCAAGCCCTTGCAGTACATCCAACGCTTGCTGGTAAAGGCCCTGATGGCGCGATGACCAAGCCAGCGAGCAGCTTGCCAGCAGCTGCAGACCACGTAGAACAACCCCATGAACGGAAACATGGCAAAGAACATGAGTGCACAAGCAATGATGAGTTTTGTGTGTGTGTGTGTGTGTGTGTGTGTGTGTGTGTGTGTGTGTGAGGGGGAGGAAGGGAGGGAGGGAGGGACATGATTGAACGTGAAGAGTTGAAAACAGGCATGCAAAGAGAAGAGAGACAGATGTTGTGCAATTCAGCAGTCGTTCGTCGTTCGCGCTCCCAGACCAGTCACAGTGCAACAACCGCTGGACCACGAGCACAGAGACACAAGGCGCAAACGCGCACACACACACACACCTGCGCAAACTTGTCGTTGGTCCTGTACGCCTGTTCGTAAGTTGCAAAGCACTGATCATACAGGCTGGAGAACCCGGCAGACTCGTCCATGGCCAGGAATTTGCTCGCCAACCCCTGGTCCTTGATGGTGCTCAGCACGTTGTCCTCCACCGGTGGAAGGAGAGGAGGAGGAGGAGGTTGCGAGGGCGTTGCCGTCACAGTTGTGGCTGATTTCGAAGAGGATGACTGTGTTGCAGACTTGAGCGTGGAAGCGAGCATTGTAGCAGCTGCCTTGGCTGATGCAGCTGGAGTTGCTGAAGCGGGCTCTTGTGTTGATGCTTCATCAGTGTCTGCGTCCTGGCTCGCGTCTTCAGGGTTGGTTTGAGGTTGCTCATTAACACCGTCCGCACGGCCCTGTTCCTGTCCTCCAACTGGCACGTCAACTGGCACGTCAACTGGCACATCAACTGGCACATCAACTGGCGCTTCCGGGATGAGGTCATCAGACTCCAGCTGCATCAAGTTGAGGATGTCGTCACTCTGCTGACCACCCCGCTCCTCCTGCCCCTGCTGTTGCTGGTGCTGGTCTTGCCAGGCAGACAGGATGGCATCGTTTGACATGTTGGTCATTGCGACGCTGGGCGGTCTGCGCCGCCTCGTCTTGTACATGGCCGTGTGATGCTGATTGGAAGGCATGAAGGAACGAATGTTGGGTTTGCGTGAGTGAAGAAGATGGGACAACAAGTCCGTTTGCATGTGTGAATGTGTGAATATGTGTATGTGTGTCTGTGTATGTGTGTATGTGTGTCTGTGCGTGTGTGTATGTGTGTATGTGTATGTCTGTATGCCTTGTGTGTGCTGTGTGTGTGTGGTGCAGACAACACCTCACCCTGCAACAAGGTTTTGGTGTGTGTTGACAATGGTGTCGTGACAACAGCACAGCATGACAACACAAAGACAACACAGGAGCTCAAGCGAAACCAAGCAAGAAGCTGCACTCAACACAAGCAGAAGCCTCGCACACATGAGCCGTACACGCACTGGTCGCTTGCTCTCGCTGCTTGGTTGGTCCGTTGCTGAAAGTGCTTACTTTGAATTTGGCGGCTCACGATGAATTTACCCAAATATATGTTTCGCACGAGAAATGCCTTGCTCAGACGCATTTTAGTCTATCCACCTGACCGTGGGGAGAGGAGGTTGGGCACAACTGCACTTCATGCTGTTTGCGTGTCATCCTTGACAATCATCAGTCACATCAAGACCGCAACGCGCACGAAGCAACGACGACTGCTGACACACAACCGAGCCACTTGCTTGCACCAACATCTTCATCATCTCTTGTTGAAGGGTGGTGCCATGGTGTCGTTAAGCGACAAGCGGTACGCCAACGCGTTTGGCACGGGAACCAATGCCGCCGCACGGGAAACCAGCGCGCTGCTGGACAGTAGCAGCAGCAACAGCAGCCGCTTTGCGTCACACAAGTCCATCAACAGGGGCGGTGCGGTTGCACGAGGACCCATCAACGGACCGCCTCTGTCGAGCGGAAGCAGACGTGTCCCCGCACCCCGGCACACAAACAAGAAACACATTGGCGTAGTCGTGCCCGTGGCCATCGGCATTCTCCTCATGGTGTGTCTGTCTGTGTGCGTATGTGTGTGTGTGTGTGTGTTTGTGTGTGCGTGTGTGCGTGTGTGTGTTTGTGCGTGTGCCTGTCGGCCTGTGCGTGTGTGTGTCTTGTGGATGCGTGGGTTGGCGAAGGTGCATCTTCCTCCTCTGTGCGCGGACTTGTAGCTCGCTCGTGTCGCTGTCAGTCTGCGCCTTCCCCCCCCCCCTCTCCCAAACCAGTATACTCTCTCACACGTGCGTCTGCGCGCGCATGCAGTGTGGGCTGGAAGCTGTGTTGTTCGTACCACCGTTTCGACTCGGCACACACTTGCTTGACGCACACAAGGCACCGTACGCCTTTCTCTGCATCATCCACGGTGCGCTCCCTTGCCCTTGACCTCTTGCACATGTGTATCTTATACTGCATTCCATATGTGTGTGTTGTTGTTGTTGTTTCAGTTGTTGTTGTTGTTGTGTCAGTTGTTTAAGTTGCTGCTGTTGTTGTTGTTGTTGCTGCTGCTGCTGTTGTTGTTGTTGTTGTTGTTGCTGCT